GTGGAGGCGAGGTAGAGATCGCTTCTTACAGTGAGGCTCTCTCAGCTGGCTGGCTATCGGCGGCTCACGACACTGACTCGTTGTCGATGCCTAATGGTAGTCCTGATAGCTCGTCGCTCCTCTGGCATGTTACAACTCCCAGTGGTTTGGGTGTACATCAGAGCTCCCTGAGGAGTCATGCTCAGACCTGGGATGCCAGCAGAAAGTCGCGACCGGAGCCTTCGACGTTTGCTGGGGACAACGAGCCGCCTCGGATGAACCTCTTGGAGGCGTTACAAGTCTTCAACGAAGAGGATGAGAAGAGGGTCTTTACGGTTCGGAAAGTGCACAAGCTCGGTTTCAAATCACAGTATGCTTTAAAGAAGTACTTTAGCCAGTTCGGTAGAGTGAAGGACGTTGTTCTCCTCCCGATGAGAGCCAAGCCGAAGCCAGGCCCGCATGGTCAAGTTCGTGCTGTTCGACCGAGCTCGATGGGCTTTGTGGTCATGCAGTGCCCTGAAGATGTACAGAGGATTCTCGCCTATGGGGACACGCATACAATCAAGGGCTGGCCGATTGAGGTCCGCCCGTTCGTTCGACCTAGCGATAAACAAGAGTCGAAGGTTGGTACCTGTGATGAAGGCGTCCACGCTTCGGCGACTGGGTTGCCCAAGGAGGGCAGCAGTGAATAAACGAGGTGACTGTTACTAAACAGTATGGAGGAGTAGGACACCATGGCCTCCTGTGTTACTTTGAGCGCCGCTTCCTTGGTGGTGAATACAATATTTTGAATGATTCTATTTTTTTATTTCATATACCTGATTTGTATGATCATTATTGAATACCAAACTAGAGTAGTAACGTCGTGTTTCTTCTGTCGTATACCTGGAGTTTCTCCATCACCAATTCACCCCACGAGACCAGTCGCCTTTTGAGGGCTTCAGCTAGCACCTCGATAACGAGTGCTTTTGTTGGCTCCCTTGTAAGAGATGTTGGTCAGTGTGATCTATCTGAAGGACTCTGTCTATCTGTGGCTGTAAATTTCATTTGATCATCATGCCGTGCTCATTTTTGTGTCGGTAAATATAACTTTACTAAGCAGCGCCGAGGAGTTGCTGATTCCCCCCGCAAATGCTTTGAACTTGTGTGAGCTTCATCATTCGACGTATGATCGTTAGAGTGAGGCAAGGCCTCCTCATCTTCTATGAGTGCTGGTAGTTTTTTATTGTTACTTAAGAGCCGCATCTACTCATGCCACAGGCCATCGTAGATTTATTGAGTATCATTCTAAGAGTCGTCAGCGCTCAAGCCGCTTCACATCTTGATATGTTTTATACTGTTCTTGATTCTGATGATGGATATCTCTCTGGACTGATGTCAGCTGCCTTTGTTCGACA